CCAGCCTTTTCTTCTCTACAACCCCTGGATCTTTGGTGCAGAAAGCAAACAGCTTGTCAGGTGGTGTTATGGTTAAAGTTAAAAACAAAAGCAAAAACCTGTCATGCTGCTAATGGTGTTTTCTTGTTATTATGCCTTCTGGTGTGATAGATCCACAGGGTAACTCACACTGTCTGCATTGCTTCCTTTTTAGTGCTGATTTATTTTAACAGGTTATTCACTGCCTTTTTGCCTGGGACAACTGGAGGGATGTGCAACATATTTATTCTCTGTCCTTCATTACTAAATGCAGTTCTGTTTCACTGGATATTGGTACGGTCTCCCCAGTAGCCCCTGAAACTTGGGTGGTCACCACCAGCTTGCCTGAACGCCTCTCGCCCATCTCGAGGGAGACCCAAGATCACTCTCTGCTCCATGCTGAGCTTCAGCTATGGCATTTTAATACTACAAAGGCAGGAGAAAAAAGCAAGGTGGTGATTTTTTTTTCCAAACTCCCTTTTAAATAAACAACGGTTCCTCTCTTCCCCTCACCCCACCCCACCCACCCTGGCAAACAAGCAACAGATGCCATCGATTCACTTTGTACCTAAGCTTTTGATCTGGCTGCACTTTGATTTTCAGTGCTCACTTTTGACAAGGGAGGGAATAAAAGCCCCATTTTTATGACATTAATAGAGGCTTTTCTGCTGTGGTAATTTATTTGTGCTCTTGCTAATAATTTTCTGCTGATCCGTGTAGATTCTTGGTGACAGACACAGAAACAGGACAGAGTGACAAAACACGGTTTCCATCACCCTGAAAGATTTTCCAGGGACCTGGGGTAGCGTGGGCTAACAACTACTTGCTTGCATGGTAAAGCAAGAGTGTGCAGAGCACCCGTGCCCAGGCTGGGAGACGGCACACGCTGCGCAGCCGCCTGCATCGCAGCCCTCCGGGCTGACACCGGGAAAAGGGCCTCATTCCAACGCCTTTCAGGCTGCTGGTAAGAACACGGAAAAAGGCACCTCTAAGAGGCTTATGTACAAAACGGTACCAAAAAAGGGCAGGTCAAGACAGCAGAGGTGGGACAAAGCCGTGTTTCTGTGCAATAGCTCCATCCTGCTAGG